CACGCCCGCGGGCCCCACGGCGCATGGCCCGCTCCCGCCCGCCCCCTTCCCGGTGTTGCCCCAGCCCTACCCCGCCTACGGCCCCCATTACCCGTCGGCCCAGCCGGCACCCAGGGCCGCCGGGGGCTACTCCTGGTCCCCACAGCGGAGCTTGCCACCCCTGCCGGGCTATCCCGGGGCCCCCACTGGTGCTTCTGGCCCTGGGTACCCCACGGCGGGGGGCCGTGCCCCCAGTGCTGGCTATCCTCAACAGCCCTCCTACCCCTCAACAGGCGGCAAGCCCCCCTACCCCACGCAGGCGCAGTACCCCGGCCAGCCCCAGCCCCCGGGACCCCCGCGGCCGCCCTACCCCACCGGCCCCGCCCCCCCCTACGGGTTCCCCCCCCCTCAGGGGCCTGTCTGGCCTGGGTATTAGAGGCCCGCCTGGCCCTTCCCTTCCTCCCCCGCCCCTCACTGAGATTCGAGGCTAAATTGGGAGTGGCGCTGGCTCTCATGGGTGTGTGGGGACACGCGGGGACAGCGGGCACCCCTCTTGGGCTGCCCGGGGCAGGGGCGCCCCCTCCCAGGGCGTTCGCACCTTTCTGAGTGAGGGAGTGAGTGTGAGCAGGCGTCTGCTCATCCACATGCGCCCTGCCCTCACGGGTGCGGAGCCGCTAAGGGTCACCTCAGCGATGAGGGTCCCTGCATCTGGCCTTGGCTCACCCGCCCGCCCTGGCGTCAGCCTCTCCCTGTGGTGCCCTGGCCGAGGGCCGCTGCTCTGTGGGGCCCCTGAGGATGCCGGCACCACCCGCGCCCAGGGCTGGGGTGGGGAGAGCGGCTCAGCGGAAGCCCAAGGACTGTCACGTGACTTAAAGCCATAACGGACCTGACAGGCTGATGTCAGATGAGCGGGTGCCGGGTGCTGCGCGTGGAGGAGACGGGGCTGTGAGGGTGGGCCCCCGACCTGAGTTGCCCTGGGGGCCCCTTGTGCCCTCTGGCAGGGAGTGAGTAGCTCCGGCCCAGGAAACTGGCCGCCTCGGCCCGTGTAGGAGCGGAGGGCCGCTGCCTCCCAAGTCCTGGCCCTCGGGGGCGCCCACTTCTGGCCGACTTCTGTCACTCCTCTAGTGCCTTGGATCTCACAGCAGCCCTGCCCTCATCCCCTTCCTCTGACCCCCATGACTCGGGACCCCACCCCGCTCCTCCTAAGGTGATGTCAGCAGAGGCCCTAACCGTCGCTCCCCGTGGTGCTTTCTAGAACACCACTGCTGCGCCGGCCTGCTGTCAGCCCCTCTCGTCTTCAGGATGTCTAGGGCAGGGACTGTGGCCCGTGCCACTTGCCGCCTCCAGCACGGCGGGGCTTCTGAGCGCGCTCAGCAGCAGCGCTGACTGCGAGGCCAAAGCGGGTGCAAAGAATGAAGCGTTAGCAGGAGCCGGGTCTCGGGGCACACTCTGGAGCTGCTGTGGGTCAGGGTGTCTGTCACATGTGCCTTGAAGCGCCCGCTCCTTGGGGACTTGGCGTGCAGCGGGTCGGGGAGCCTGGGCCAACGAGGAAACCTGAGCTGGCGCCCGCCCCGGGGGGCCTGCGGCAGCGAGAGTGCAGCCTGTGGTGCTCGGCCTCACTGGCGGCTCCTTCCCGACGGCTCCTGTGTCATGAAGGGCCGTCTCCGATGGCCTCCACCGGCTCGAGCACTTCTGAGACACGAGCGATCGCCGTGTTTGTGTAATTAATTGCCATAATAAACGTCGATGAGTCCAGTGTTGTGTTTCTGATGGGGTTGGGAGGTGGAGGCGTGGCTGCTAGGCGGCGCATGCCTTTTCCTGGCTTTGGGGTCACATTCTGCTGAGCCGCCCCTTTGATTCACGCCCACCAAGCCCCGCCTATTCGGGCATCGCCTCTCAGCAGGTATGCGCCCCTGCGCCTGTGCCCCGGCCTGGCTGTGACCCTGTTTCCTTCCCGCTCCTACTCGGGGCGGGTCCCCTTTAGCTGTCTTCTTGCCGGAACCTGCAATGCCTCAGGGCCCCACTGGGGGGCGTTTGGACCCCACGCTGGCTCAGCCTGGCGCGTTGCTGCCCCCTGCTGGGTTAGTGAGGGACGACAGTTTGCCCGCCTTCCCGAGAAGCCCGAGGTGGGGGTCCCAGTCTTCCCGTGCAGTTTCTGCAAAGGGGGTGGAGAGCCATCAAGCCACTAAACTAGCTGTGGCGCCGAGCGGTCTTCTGCCTTTGCCTAGCCTGCCCCTCACTAGCTGCCTCTGAACACAGGCTATCACAAGGCCTGGGAGGGCGCCCTCCGCTCTCAGGGGAAGGGCCAGGAGGGAGTGGAGCCGGGGCAGCCTCCCTGCTGCTCCTCCCCTGCCAGGACACGCCAGGGCGGCTGCGGAGCCCCGGAGCTGCTGTCCCTCCTGTTAGGCTTTCCGTGGGGGTTGCCTCCAGGGGTCTCAACAGTCCTTGGACTCCGACTTTAAACAAAGGGGGAGACCAGGTGGAGCACACAGCCTGGAGGCGGGTGGAGGCTCACACTGGCCCTGCCCGTTGCAGAGATGCCTCGGACTGCGGTGACAGTCCCTGGGAAAGCCTGGACAAACAGCGGGACCATCACGTGCGTGCTGCCCCCTGCCCCCTCTGCCCTCTGGCCTGGCCTTCAAGGGTCAGGGCTGAGGAACCGGCTGCAGGGTGCGTGGGACAACACGGTGGGAATAAGCTGACCCCCACTTGAGACTGACCAAGTCACGGGCGTGGGTCCACGTGGGGGCAGAGGGTGCCCGGGCTAGAGCGAGGGGGCTGGCTCAGGGCTGCTCAGTCGGTCGCTCAGCGCTGCTCCCTGCCCTCCTCCCCAGCCCCTTTCTGCCCTGCAGGCCACATTCCAGCCCACTTGGGCCCCTTTCCCAAGTCCACAGTGCACACCCAAGGGTCAAAGCACGGGCACACCCAAGGGTCAAAGGAGCCTGAGACGCCCTCTGGTGCGGTCCCTGGCTGTGCCGGCTGGGCGAGGCCCTTTGAAGCTTCCCTTCTCCAGCCCCTCGGTGGTCAAAGTGAGCTTTCCCCTGGGGTCCTCCGTTTCCTTGACATGAGAAAGTGCTGGAACCAGGCAGCACACGGGCCAGGTGGGTGGCCTGCTTAGAAAGGGGGGCCTGCTTAGAAAGGGGGGGCTCCTGCTGCTCCGGCTGGCTGGTTGCTGCAGGCAGGGCCGGCCCCGGGGTGGTCCATCTCACGCCGGGCACCCTCTGGCCCAGGGAGGCAGGACGGAGGCCTGTTCGGTGGCTTCCCGAGGGTCTTTCGGGACTGCATCTCCCACCACTGGGAAACCGTTTTCTAGAGAGGTTTTCCTTCAGTGTGACTGTTTTCCTGGAGGCCACAGTGGCTCAGGCCACTGTCTGGGGCACAGACGGGGCACCGGCACGGAATGGCTGGTGCCCCACACCCTTGGCCTGCCCTCAGGGATGCCCTCCAGGTCCCAGGGAGGCACCTTCAGTGCTGTCCAGTGTAGGGTGACGACGGGGGTTCCCGCCTTGGGGTTCCCGCCTTGGGGTTCCCTGTAGGTCAGCCTCGGGCTCTCCTGGGGCTGAGTCCTGAGCAGACGGGGTGGGCATGGTTGAAGGGTGTTGGCAGGTAGAGTGTGGCCCAGGCCCTTCTGGGGTGCCAGCCCCCCTCCTCTGCTTCCCTGATTCTGGGAGCTCCCCTCCCCCCACACCCACCTAACACCCACTTGCTTCTCCAGAGTCGGCTTCTGGCTTGGACCCTCAATATCTTGGTTCCGGTGAGCACAGGGCCAGATGGGGGGCCAGAGGCTGGGCGAGGCCTGCAGTCTCTCCCCTTGCAAGGTGAGGAGACCTTGCAGGTTCCCATGAGGGGAGGGGGTGCATGTAATGGACGTCGCTTTCCACCCCCAGGGTCCTGCAGCCTCTTCTCTGCCTCTTAACTGTCATGGGCAGAAACTGCTTTAGCACAGGACTCTGAACTGTTGTGGAAACAACCTCCAGAGTAGGATTTCTGGGGACCCCTGAGGTGGCACTGGTGCCCGTTGGGCTGGATAGAGGGCATCCTGCTCTCAGTGGGAGAATGAAGCATTGGGGGAGCCACTAGGGGTGGGGAGACACTCTGGGCCAGGGACCACGAGGCCCTGCTGGCAGCTGCTGTGACCCCCAGGCTGTGGGGCTCCCTGGTAGGTGCCCGGTATCTTTCCCACCTGCTCCCCAGAGGGCTCACAGGGTTGTGGCTGCACTGAGGAGGTGCTCGAGGCCCAGGAAGTGAAAAAAGCTTATTGACAAGAACATGTTAGAAACACGCTAGAGAACCGCCCCTGCCCCAAGCTGGGAGCCTCGTGTCCTCCCCTTGGGGTCACAGTCTCTGAGCAGAATCCGGGGGACTGCTCCCCACACACGGGATGGGGGCTCCGGCTGCCACACGTGTCTCTGCTTGGGTGGTCGCTGTGTCTGGGCCCGTGGAGGGTCCAGCGGGGAGGGGAGGGGTCTTCGCGGGCCAGGCTGGGTCGGGGAGGGCAGAGCAGCTGGCAGGGCGGAGGGACACAGCTGACCGGCAGCCTCCTGCCTACCGCTGGTGGTGGCAGGACCCCACTTCCTCCGCAGGAGACAGCTTTGGGACGAAGGCGGGG